AGGTCCACTCCAGCAACAGACAGCTCGTGCACGCAGGCTACATTAGCTATCCCTGAAAAACAAGAAGACTTGACACGTCCTAAAACCAAAGAAGCTACACCTTGACCCCAAAGGGATCCCAAAACGACGTATTTGTCAGTCTTCCTCGCCGCAACAACACTCTCTTTGATGAGAGTTTGGAGACAACCCGAGTCTCTCAAGATAGTAACTGTTGTTTCGACACCATCAACTTCTACCGTGCCTTGTGACAAAAAGGGACGAAAGGTACCAACGTCTGGGTCCTTTGCAATACTCTCCTGGAAAGGATCAAAGTCTCGTGAGGCGAGAACCGAAACTGCACTCTCTCGTACTTCACCTTTTGCGAAAATCAACCCTATTGCCATGCTGTCAGCCTCAGACCAGCAATCACACCGACTGGTGACGTATTAGTCTCTTCAGTAACAATCATAGCTGGTCTGCCCGTATTTAGCTGCAGCCTTTTCCAACAAACCTCTGCCTTATGACCTGGCTTTCCACAGTAACTACAAGGGTATGTAGAAAATTTGGACGCCCCATTAGGTGGCGAACGCGTCCAGCTCCTCCTGTCACGCGCAAAATTACTATTGTTAACATTCCCTTGGCTCGCTCTGTGGAGAGAGGGGTTAAAAGTCCTTTGATCCTGTGGGGGCATAACATCATTGTTAGTCCTACCATGCCTCAAAACATATCCATCAGCATGCTTAGCAGCCTCTTCGATATATATATTTACATAACAATCATAGCTATGTAATTAGTCTAATCTTAACACTTACAATGAGTACTTAATTTGTCATATTTTTATGTCGTCACAATGATAAACGATGCAATGGACACAGTCTACCTGTGTACACAACACGTACAAGTAAAACTTACGTGTTGAAAGTCTTCAGGAGAAACAGGTTAGGTGTTGGCACTATAATGAGGATAGCTACAGTGAGGAAGCAGTGCCCTGCCGGGCACTCACATGTCAGGCAGGCTATTTAAAATCGCTGCGTCAGGTTTGTTATATGCAAACAAGATCCCATTACACCACCCAACACCTCAACCTACTCTGTGTCTCATCTGCCTCCATCTCAACACTACATATATATATATATATATATATATATATATATATATATATATATATATATATATATATATATATATATATATATCGCTCCCCTCAGGCTGGTGGTATTTAACTTTAATTTTGTCACGTTCTCGTGACTATGCTGCCCTCAGGCTGGTGGTATTTAACTTTAATTTTGTTACGTTCTTGTGACTATGCTGCCCTCAGGCTGGTGGCATTTAACGTTCATTTTGTCACGTATGTGACTATGCTGCCCTCAGGCTGGTGGTATTTAACTTTAATTTTGTTACGTTCTTGTGACTATGCTGCCCTCAGGCTGGTGGCATTTAACGTTCATTTTGTCACGTATGTGACTATACTGCCCTCAGGCTGGTGATACTTGCCAGCTCCTTAACTTTCTGTCATTTACTGGGACACGTGCATGCACCTTGTCTCACACATAAAGGGCACGTTCGTGTGCCTTTTCTCATCCATCGGGGCACGTTCCTGCGCCTTGTCTCACCCATCAGAGCACGTTCGTGCGCCTTGTTTCACCCATCAGGGCACGTTCGTGCGCCTTGTGTCACCCATCAGGGCACGTTCGCAGGACACGTTTGCGCGCCTTGCCTCACTCATCAGGGCACGTTCGTGCGCCTCGTCCCACTCATCAGGGCACGTTCGTGCGCCTTGTCTCACCCATCAGGGCACGTTCGTGCGCCTTGTCTCACACATCAGGGCACGTTCGTGCGCCTTGTCTCACCCATCAGGGCACGTTCGTGCGCCTTGTCTCACCCATCAGGGCACGTTCGTGCGCCTTGTCTCACTCATCAGGACATGTTTGTGCGCCTTGTCTCATTTATCAGGGCACGTTCGTGCGCCTTGTCTCACTCATCAGGGCACGTTCGTGCGCCTTGTGTCACTCATCAGGGTACGTTCGTGTGCCTTGTCTCTCTCATCAGGGCACGTTCGTGCGCCTTGTCTCACTCAGGGCACGTTCGTGCGCCTTGTCTCACTCATCAGGGTACGTTCGTGCGCTTGTCTCACTCATCAGGGCACATTTGTGCGCCTTGCCTCACTCATCAGGGTACGTTCGTGCGCCTTGTCTCACTCATCAGGGCACGTTCGTGCGCCTTGTCTTACTCATCAGGGTACGTTCGTGCGCCTTGTCTCACTCATCTGGGCACATTCGTGTGCCTTGTCTCACCCATCAGGGCATGTTCGTGCGCCTTGTCTCACCCATCAGGGCATGTTCGTGCGCCTTGTCTCACTCATCAGGGTATGTTTCGTGCGCCTTGTTTCACTCATCTGGGCACATCGTGCACCTTGTCTCACCCATCAGGGCACGTTCGTGCGCCTTGTCTCACCCATCAGGGCACGTTCTTTGTCTCATTGTTTTCGTAACAGTCGACCTGGCACTCACTATGCCCACTCTAACACTCGCACATGATATCATTACAAAATTTACTTTGATATTTGGGTTATTTACAAAGAGATATCACTTCAGTCAAATATAATTGCCAATTGTGTTCTGCACTTACGTCAGAGAACGGTAATGACAATTGTTTTCATTCTTATATGCACTACACTAGGAGTGATTGAGCTCACTCGGATAAAATTATTTTCTTCACTAACAAGGTTTAAATATCGCCACGATAAATCTACAGGTGTTGCACAGTACACCGTGACACTGTGTTTTGGTGAGGTGCACTAAGATTGACCTTGTCCGCGTGTTGACTCCCATCTTCACACTGTTACACAGTAGAGTCGGTAGACCATTCGCATTTGACTGTAACTGTCAATCAGGCGGTTAAAGGAATATTCAGACTCGTGACGTTGAACTCGAACATTATAATTCGGTCAAACCTGTTGAATACAGTTCATTTTAGTATTTCAAATAAGTCATACATAAGTAATCATACATAAATGTTTAATCCAATATATATTTACATAACAATCATAGCTATGTAATTAGTCAAATCTTAACACTTACAATTAGCACTTAATTTGTCATATTTTTATGTCGTCACAATGATAAACGATGCAATGGACACAGTCTACCTGTGTACACAACAAGTACAAGTTAAACTTACGTGTTGAAAGTCTTCAGGCGAAACAGGTTAGGTGTTGGCACTATGATGGGGATAGCTACAGTGAGGAAGTACTCAGTACCGCTTGCGGTAACAACTTTCATATAGCAGGGTGGGGAGGACCACTGCTTGATATACGTGCACCTTTGTATATAATTTCAGCTCCCTACAGCTGAACACACTGGTACGGAGTCTGCCAAAGTCTTGAGATGCACATCAGGGCGCGCCCAACCTTCACAGCAAGCAGATGTGCTGTGAGTCGCTCCCGGCACAGGTTCAAATTTGTTGACCATTAAGACTGCCAGCCTTGTTTTTCACTTTGGTTTTGCTCTGGTTTTGCTATGCTAAGCCACCAGGGAGGCCCTCAGAGGGCTGCTGAGTCGAACCAGTAAGGGTGGCAACATTTTCTGCTAGGGATTCGGCAGTGCTTCATAACCTTTCACTGTTAGGTGTTAGGGCTTGACTAGGCCCCCGTCAGGGGATTGTCTGTCCACCCTACCCCTAGACCCGTCTTTACTCGCCCAGCAAGTGGACAGAAGGAGCGGCATCCATGGGGTTTAGCTGAGGTGGGCAGATTACTTAGGATTTTCATTCATGTATGTAGCTGACCAGGGCCAAAGTGAGAGTGAAGACCTCCGGAACCCAGACCCAGGGGTCTCGGCTAGAGCTAAAAAGGCTATTAAGCGACCTAAGGGTGAGAATGAATAGACTCGTGGACCTGAGAGATGGCTACATCATCCTCACAGAAAAAGATGGAGATGCTGATAATCTGCTGAAGTTTAGTTCGATGGATAAAATGAAAACCAACAGATACGAGGTCATTGTCCCACGGGAATACGGCGCTAAGCTCACCCTTGTATGTAAGAAGTTGGACAAAGATGTGGTGAAAATTAATGCAGAAGAAATAATGGATGAAATAGAAAAGCAAAACAATGTCAAGATTGTGGAGGTGTACCATATGTATGCCCACAATATAATCAAGGTTCGCTTTGCAGATTCAACAGTGGTCAATTAATAGACGTAACGATGGTGTCCCTGTGGCCATCAGGTCGCAGCTGAGTACCAGAGTGTTGCTAGACTTCGAGGATTCAATTTTAGGAGTGCAGGTGGAGACAACCAGGGGACCTGTTATCATTTGCACAATGTACAGTTTCGTTCAAGATTCTTCAAACACTGCTGGAAAAAACTTGCAACTCATGGCCGTTTGTTTACTATAGTACGTAGTAAAAATTATAAATGAATGTAAAAGGTTATCGATGATAGGTTACTTAGTTCCCC